CCTAAGTTCACTTTGTTGGATCAGTTCACTTTCTTTGAATAGAAGGAGCCCCTCTGATGTTGGGACACAAATTGTAGATACAATTCTTTGTCAATGGAATAGTGCAGCAACACAATCTATTCCTCTATCCTTATCAATAGACAGAGATATATTGATGTATGGATTTTCACTGATGTCTCTGTTGACTGCTGTATATACTTGTGTATAAGATGAAAAATTGACCTCAAAACCAGGCGTTGACTTTTGTTGGAGTCAAAACAGTACTTCTGTCTGCTCTTTCACCATTGGCCTTTTTGTATGCCTAAGCAGGAAAACGGTGGTGGTAGTAGCTCTGGGAATAAACTTCCTTAACAGGATGAGCTGAGGAGGACAGTGCTTTTTTTTTATGATAGGCTCTGCTCAATGGAGTCTTGTCTGCTAGTGGTTGTCTTCAACCAACCCACTTGTCTTCCCCTCCTCCAACTTTTCTGAGGAGGCCAAGAGGCAGACTTCAGGTGGTGGAACTAAAGAAGGTAGGTTAAATAAACCATCAGTCTCTTCAGCTGCTTTTGTGGCAATGATGGGATGGAGGATAAGTCTGAATGATGAACAAAGAAACACCAGTGGTGCTGAGAAACATTTGGCTCAAGAGACTGCTGAGATCTGGGAAGACAGCCCCAAATCTGTACCCTTGACTTATCCATGATTTTGGCCCCAAAATCTGCCCTTGACATGCACCAGGTCAGCATACACAAGTATATATGGTAATTTCTTGTACTTATTTAAATAAACGTTTAATTAAATCACTCACTGTTGCTCCTCCTTTTTTAAATATTCTAATGATGAACCGTCAGTGGAAGGATCTTATTAACTTGTAGATTGAAATAGTTCTGATGATAGAATGTGTTTCTATTTTTAACATCCCCAGACAAAGCAAGAAATCATGCTTGCTTCTTAGATTCTGGAAAAGATAGTCTTCCTTACCATTTCTTCCCTAGCGAGTTGACTCTTCCTCCCCACCTTTTCCTTTCTTTAGAAAAATTATCACATTTTCTCAGAAAAATCAACACGTTTTACAGAATGAGTAGGAGAAGGAAGTGCCGTGGGTGAGAAAGGCCTGTGGCGTGTTCTTGAGGAAAGACACGTCTTCTTTGGTTGCTTTTATCATTATTCTGTAGGAGTAGAAGGATGCTTGTTTTAGTAAGAGCTGTGTTGCTAAGCAGAATTGTGATACTGAAGATTATGCAGTAGATGTTCAGGAGGAGTGTAGCTTCGTGGCTGACTAGCATAAGAGAACATACTTTTAATTTGAAAGAGCTTGGTTAATATGGGTAGGTCTGCAGGAAACAGGAGAAATCTGACATAACTCTGTGAATTTGTTTCTGGATAGTGGTGAGCTGGCAAGAGTTATGTATCCCAACTTCTTATGCACTCAGAAATTGCAGAATTTTACACAATTATATACAAAGCTAGAGAAGCTACTGAGAAGATCCTAAGGAGTGGAGTCCCATCAATATGATGATAATACTCAGCTCTACTCTTTGGCAGCAAAGGTCTCTGGACTCTGCAACTATTGGATCAATATTTGGATGTTTTAAAGGGGGAATTAAAGTGAAACTGAATCATGGTAAAATGGAGTATTTGGATTGATTGTTCTCAATTCTTCTTGCATTCCCTTGAAAGAAGCTGGTCTGCATTTTGTTTAGTGGAGTCCTAGTTGGAATTCTGTGGCTCACAGTGCATCAACTAGTTGGTCTGCTGTCACCTTTCCAGGGCAGGGAGAGCATAGCCACATTAACCCATGTGCTGCTAACTTCCTGATTGCACTACTCTCCGTGAGCCTGCACTTGAAAATAACTCAGAAACTATAGCTAGGTGAAATGCAACTGCTATACTGCTGATCAGCAACAGTACAATTCCCATATCCATATAGGATACATTCCTTGACTTCGCACGGATACATGAAATTGTAGATAATAGTATACCCTATTGAAATGAAGAAGTTCTGACACAAGCATAGCATAGAGCTGTCACAAAGGACCTAGAAAATGCATAGAGACAGATTTAGTCAGATGTGGATAAATAAAACCACAAATATCCTTCCCATGGATATAGAGATTGTACTCTTACCATAAACAAAATCATATAGCATCAATAGCATCACCTGGCCAATATACCTATGGTCCACTTTTGAAGTGCTGGTAATGACATGTAAAGTCCTAAAGAGTTTGAGACCTCTGTACTTGACGGAATGCTTGTCCATATAATATAATATATATAATTGAGACCTGTTGTATGGGCCCCCTTGGTCCCATCAGTTAGAGCAATACACTGTGGATGGATGCAGGAAAGGACCTTCTCTACTGTGGCACCCCTGAAATGAAATGCCCTTCTCATAGAGGCCCAGTTGTCCAATTGTTGCCATTCCAGCACCAAGTCAAAATGTGGTTTTCATTTAGTGTAATTGGTTTTGCATACACCCTAACATGCCTGTGGTTTAAAATTATTTTAAACTACAATCCATCATTGATTTTACGTTTTACCACTTGAAAATGCATGTATTTTTTTAAACTCAAAAGCAAAAGTTGATTTTTCCGTTCAGTATAAGGGGCACTATTTTAGTATGCCATTGCATATCATGGGACTTGAGCAGCCACAGGTTTTGGTATCCATGGGGATTGTGGAACCCAGTGGATACCAAGGGTTCATTGTAGTTTAACCAGCTATAATTTGTCTTTCTAAACTCATTACATACTTTAATATATTTTAGCCTTTTAAACTCATTTTATTGTTTACACTATATTAATCAGGTTGGTTTTATTTCTCTCTGCCCTGGGGTCTCTAGATGTACACAGCTTATACATATTTAAACAAAGAAATACGGTAAATAATCCTAGCACTTTGTCCTTTCCACTAAATACCCATTGCGGTCATCTCCCAGTCCATATAATTATTATTATGTGCCTTCAGGTAATTTTCTACTTACGGCATCTGTATGATATTGTTTTCTTCACAATACATATTCAGGAGAGCGTTCTGCTCCTCCCCCCCACCCCCCCGCTGTTTGCCTTTCAGTACTACTCAGGCCTGACCCCGCTTAGTTTCCAAAATCAAACAAGATCTGATGCCTTAAGGTATTTAGGCTTGGTCTAAACAACACATAACTTTACATCACACATCTTACAGCTCTCTTTAATATACGCCTTCAACACTGCTGTTGTTTCTTTATTTGTAACTATCTGGGCTTGTCTTTGCATGATGGCTACCAAGGAACATCCAGAAATAAGATAAACAAAGCAAAACAGCATCTTAAGGAAACAGTGTGTAAATGTTATGGCAGAATTGATTTAGACAGGTGCTAATTAAGGGAAGGGATATGTGATGACAGCCTTGCATTTTAAATATCATGTCAATTGTTATGACGTTGTCTCACACCTTGTTGGAACTTCCTTGCCAGAATCATGGGTGTTGGGTGTTCAGTCCCCCATGCAATTTGACATATTCCTTCTTCTCCCTTTTTTTAAATCACAGCTCATCATGTGCACTGATTCATCCAGGGACAGGCAGCATTCTCTGTCATAACTTCAGTCTTGATTTCTGCCATATTTTTGTTTCAATAGCATTTAATCCTTGTGTCACATTGCCATATTTCGGCTTTAAATGAAATAAGAGATAAACAAGAGTTTCTGAAAATTCTGCTGCATCTGGCCCTGCCATTTGGTTAGGCCTGTCCATATTGTCTAGTTCGGTGTTTCTCAAACGTTTCTCCTCCAGATGTTTTGGACTTCAGCTCCCACTGGCTGGGATTTCTGGGAGCTGAAGTCCAAAACACCTAGAGGAGCAGACTTTGCAATCTAGTTTATTGTTGCTATGAATTTGAGGAGAATTGGCATCTACTTAAAAATAATTTTGGGGTGGAGAACTGTCTCAGTATTGTAAATAAGACATTGACACTGTTAATTGCACAAGTATGAGAATAAATATAATTACAAGATTCCAAAGTTGACTTTGGAAGAACAGTGTTGTCAGTCTGTTTACTTAATAGATTCCTTTTTTTTTTCTAGTGGCAGCAGAGAAAATATTTAAGATTACTATTTGCATAAAGCCATCAGAAACCTCTTTGGAAAAAGAACAATGAGATATCAATATGTATTAAACCAGGTTCTGAGAAACCCTAAAATCCTTTGAAAGATCATCAGATTTTTCTAAAAATGGCACACAGGTCACTCTGAAAGACTTTGCAAATCTGCCGCTGATCTTAGAGTGAAGCTTTAGGGAGTTTTGGTTGTATTTGTCCAGGATGATGAGGCCTATAAGGTTGAAGTGCACTCTGTGTGCTCAATCTGTCTACTTTAGAATTTTTCATAGAAATTTTGTTAACGCGTAAGGGATGGTGGTACAAATACTGATGTACAAAGTCTTGGAAAAATATTTGACAATATGTCATGTGGAGCCTTTATGGAAAGTTAATGTGGTTTTGCTCTTGCACCAAATACATCAATGACCAAGAGACTTATGTACCCATCAAGGGAAATTTACAAATGATAGATAGTGGTGTACCGTTTTGTTATTGTGATTATGTGTTACATGTTGTTGGGTAAAGACTACTCAAAGACTGAACAATTAAGCACAAAATCTTAGATTGGAAGAGTTGGTATAAACTCACTTTTGAGCTTGCTGCAAAGAAGAATGACTGACAAGAGGATTGTGTATTCAGCATTCTTTTATCTTATTACTTGGCATTTTAAAAGGGGAAATCCCTCCTCTTCCAGTCTAAAGCACTGTCTTTATGAGTAAAAACAACATAGAGACTGTCTTCCTGTTTCATAAGTGTTGCAAGAGCTACATTGGCATTCGTCATTGCTGTTTGCAGTTGGGTTCTTGAATAATTTCTCTGTCCAGGATAACAGCTGTGTTTGATGGATACTGATAAAACTTGACGGATCAGTTGAAAATATATTTGAAGCACTGAGGATTAACAGCAGATCTGACAAGTGTGTGTTTTTTGTTCTTCCCTGCAGATATTGCAGTGGTGGAGATGAGTGATGCTTTCCGCCAGCCCTCCCTGTTTTATCATCTCGGAGTCCGAGAGAGCTTCAGCATGGCTAACAACATAATTCTCTACTGTGATACCAATTCAGACTCTCTGCAATCACTGAAGGTAACATAAGTCTTCATAGGATGAATAGGGCATCGTTGGAGGGGAAGGGTTTCCTGAAGATCATTCAGAGAAATGCCTGATTGCATTGTGGTATAACCTTCAATGCCCACGCTGTTCCGAGTATTATCTGTCATTGTGGTATACTAGAAGCTGGTAAAGGCCTCAAATATTCATTGTGAAGGATGTGCAGGTAGTAAAACAAACACAGATGCTGAAACAACCTAAGGATCATTATGAAAAACAGCCCTTCCCAAAACCCTGCCCAGTATAACTTGTTGAACCTCAAGAAAAAGCTCTCTCAGCTAGATTTTGGCTATAGATGCATATCAACAGTTAAAAGCTTACCTATATAAGGGACCAGAGTTACATGTTATAAGTAAAAATTAAATTTTATTTAAATTAGCATTTAATTGATTCATGTATTCATTTATAGCCTGCTTTTTTCACAGACCTTTCTGTTCTTATCCTCACAACACTGTGAGGTGATTTACACTGAGACGTAGTGATTGGCCCACAGTAAACTAACATTAAGTGACATTTTGGAAAATTCTGTCACTTTCCAAGAAAGTGCTTTGAGCACTTGAGTCCCACCTCTCTTTGCCCTCACTGACTCCTTGTTGCTTTTCTGAGTATTAAACATGCAAAAGACAGTAAAGAAGATACAGAGCCAATCCAAATAAATGGAATTAGCTACCTCAGGCACTGCTGTAGTAGACATTACTCAGACTGTTAGAAGGAACTTGATTCATCATTCATATGACTACATAAATATCTACCTACAACATGTAAGGCCAGTGTGTGCTTGGAAATTTAAAGCAAGGGAAAATAATTTCTTCTCTAGGCAATTGAGTTAATTGTTCTACCATTATAATGGTCATTTTTTCACCTCATTGATAGCTTCATGATCCTATTAGTCAATTTAAATTATTTTGATAGTTTTAAACCTTAAATTGTTTTAACCTGTTAAATATTTACTTTCATAGTTCTTTCAGGTTGAAGATATAGGTGGAATGTACCAACAACAGTAATATCAACCAGAATTCATGATGGCAGTTAGGAATGTATCACCTAGAGTTACACATTTGTGGCTTGTTCGTTTTCATGTATTCACTACTTTAGGGAATACATAGTGACTATGACAGTCCCCCGGTCCATAGAGATAGAGCCCTGACTAGTCAGCTCAAGCTGCCTATGAAGTTTGATGTTAGTTATTACTTCAATTCTCCCATTATTGAGTTTAATGTCTGTTTCTTAGCAGCTCCAGATGGTTTCTTGCTGGGTATGCCCCAAATAGCCATCAATGTGTATATCAGTTTTGGCACATAGTTTGGCTTTCTAGGTGTGTTTAGTATCTACAAATCCATGCCTTATTCCTGAACAGCATTCACCCAGGTGCTGGGTAGCATTATGTTGTTATGATTGCAGCTCAACATCTCCCATCTACACCAGATCCTTCTCTGTAATATTCAGCTGTGTTGTTATTGTTGGTATGGTATGCATTCAAGTCATTTCTAACTTATGGTGACTCTAAAACAGTGGTCCCCAACCTTTTTTTTGACCAGGGACCACATTCCAAACTTTAGTAGCAAAAGGTTTACTAATCAGTTTTGGTCAGCTTTAGATTTGGTTTGGTTACTTGGGGTTCTGATTCAGAAAATTACATTGGCTAGACATCACGAGCTTTATTTTCTGATACAGAACATATGCCATCCAGTAGTCGTCATCTGCTTATCCACATAAAACCATATTTAATAATCTAGAGCTGATGTGGCCTGTCCAAGGGGTCGGGGCTGATCAGCAACAGGGAAGGAGTGACAGGCTGCATGAAAGGAGCGGAGATAAATAAAATAAAATAAAGAGGAAGGAGGCTTTTGGACAAGATTTTTATCCTCGCAGCCCACTGGTGGTCTGCAGCCCCACAAGTTAAGAACCAGTGCTCTAAAATGACCCTTTGTGCAAATCAGTAGATTCAGTTCTACTGGAATACCAGTTGGATTCAAACTGGTATTTTAGATCTTCACTTAGTAGCCAGATCATGTACGTGTCCTTTTGTGGCACTAAAAGAATATATAAGAAAGCTTAATGAATATGAGCTTCTAATTACAAGCAATTCTCGAGTTACAAACATCTATAGACAGGGATGGTACAACAGGAAGTGAGAGAAATCTATCCCTAGGAAGGGAAATTCATTCTTGAAAGAGTTATCATGGGGAAAAGGTGTCACCACTGAAGCTTTTTCACTACTCCTTGTTTTCTCAACCAGCCAAATTTTGCAAAATCCAATCATCGCAGGGACCAAAAGTGAAGTGAAATCTTATGAACAGGGCACAGACAGCAAAACAAACACCACAGGGGTGTTAACCCTTCCCATGCTATTCAAAGATGGATGGATGGATGAATGAATAGATAGATATGGCTGGAATAACACTTAAAATGTACCTGGTCTGACTTACTGTACATATAAATTAGGAACAAACCTACAGAATTGACCTTGTTCATAATTTGAGGACAGACTGTAATTATATTTTTAATGGACTCTTAAAATAAATAATATTATTTCATTGTCTTATGCAAGAATTGTCTCAGTTTAGAATAGTTGGCTCATTAGGGATATAAATTTCACCATCTTTCTTATCAATACATTCATTATTTCCACCCCTGGCATGTAAATCCACCAATTGGGTGGGCAAAGGAAGCAGTGCTGAAACAACAACACAATGTTGGTCTGCCAGCTCTGCAAGAAGGAGTGACAGCATATATAATGGGACTTGATGAACAGAGGGATTGGCTAACAAATCACGTTAATTAAGCCACATTAACTTTATGCTGTATATGTACTTGTGGTAAAACTACAGTCTTAACAGGAATTGGGAAATCCCCCACTCCTCATTTTGTATTTAGGTTGCCACCATTGTCTTCTTGTCTTTCTTATTACTTTGGCTTTATTCCAATGCTTTTAACAACAGTGTGTCATAAATAAATTAGAAACATTAAGCTTTCCCCATTACTTTTATCTCAAGCTGATTTTGTCTGCTTAATCTCTGTGGCCCAGTATTCTATTAAGACCAGAGGAGAACATTCAGTAAATGGCCAGTAACTGCATCCCTTGCATTCAGGAAGCAACTTCTTACCAGCCATCTCCTTATCTTATGCCAAAGGAAACCAGTAAAGGAAATGTAAAATTCCAACTGCAAACATACTCATTAACTGCATGTTTTTTTAAAGACTGGTTCTTAAAACTCCAATGTATTTTTTTTCTTTTTAGGAAATTATTTGCCAGAAGAATAATGTAAGTATATATGTATAATATATATATTAAAAATAAACATGCTTCACACATTTTTGTTACATATGGATTTATTTATATCCTGTGAATATCATTTGTGGGGTATGCAGTGTCATTCTACTAACTTTTGTGTAAAACGGGCAGTACATACATACATACTTGTTGCTGTTCAGTTTGAAATGCCAGAGTTCCCAGCAGTGAAGGTTCATAAACTGTTAATAAAATCATTTCTAGGTTTAACTATTTTAACTTTTTTTCCACCAATTTTTGCCTTTTGTCTGTTTGCAGTTTTCTTAACACAGGCAAACTGCCTTGCTTTTCTGCTGTCACTCACTCTGTCTCCTGTTATTCTCAAATCTTCTCTTGGCATAGCTTTGCGTCCTTGAAAATTTTCTACATCAGTTAGGAAATGTCACTATTAGATAGATACACCATTAGGTAAAGAAGTATGTAATCCACCTCTCTTAAAAAGTCTCCTACTTCTCTTAAAGAGCATGGAAAACACTCTAGTGAACAGAAAAGTAGGTGGGTTGTTGTAAGTTTTCCAGGCTTTTTATTTATTTTGATATTAACAGGAAAAAAATATCAATATAGTCTGCCCTCTTTATCCATGGATTCAACCATCCATAACTGGCCATGTTCCAGAATCATTATCTCCTGATGTTTTGCCTGCATCTGTGGTAGGCATCCTCAGAGGTTGTGAGGTCTGTTGGAAACTAGGAAAATTGGGTTTATATATCTGTGAAAAATCCAGGGTGGAAGAAAGAACTCTTGTCTGTTAGATGTAGGTGAAACGTCAGGAGATAATGCTTCTGGAACATGGCCCATACAGTCCAAAAAATTCACAACAACCCAGTGATTGGCCATGAAAGCCTTCAACAGAACAGGAAGTCATTTCTAATGTTGGTCATCCAAATACTTCCAGGAAAGCTGCTAGCAGTCCATAAAACCAGTGGTCTCCTACTTCTTATCTTTCAGCACCTGGTATTCAGAGATATATTGGAGGGAAGATGAGGAAGCCAATTTTTTTCATATGATCAAGAGAACTATATTTTAGTTGGATTTTCTTTCATACTGTTTTGCTTGCATACTGATCCACTGTTTGGAGTTATTAGCCATGATGAGGCTAATCATGGCTAATAACTGAATTTATTCTTCGTGTCCTCTGCGAAATCCACACCTATGGGTTTCCTCTCGCACATGCGCAGAAATCCGGAACATTCTAAGTTTAATGAAATAAAAATGAATATTTGAAGCTCCGCCCACCCACCCCCCACCCCGCCCCCTCGGTATATATATCCCGCCGCGTGCGGGCGCACTCTAGTTCCTTTTTCCGCGCTAATCCGGCAGCATCTTGGAACATTCGCTCGCTCTTTCCACTCTACCGGCTTTTGACTAGGACTGCTTCTCTCTAACTCCGTCTTCTCCACCCCCGACTCGGACCGGCTGACTACCCTTCTAAAACTCAGGCTAGCATGTCTTCTCCGTATTTTAAAAATTGCTCAGCCTGCGGGGCTACCTTACCCGAGGCTGATAAACACTCCAAATGCTTATTATGTTTGGGAGAGGCTCACAATCTTCAATCATGTGAAATCTGCCTGAGCTTTACCACTAGAGCCCGAAAAGGCAGAGATGCCCGCTTAAAAGCGCTGCTTTACGAGCGCGCCTTGGCTCCACAGACGCTCCCTCCTCCCTCCCATTCCTCCCCAACCCAAGAGCTCACTCTGCCTCCCTCTCCACATGCTGGAGATAGGCGAGAATCGAGCCAGGCAAATGCTTCCTCAGCGGAGCCGCCTAAGAAAAAATCTAAGCCCTCAAAACAATCCACGAGGGCAACAAAACCGAAAGAAAAATCTTCAAAACAAAAGAAGGGACGGCAACTCACTGGCGAGCAGCCCTTGAGTCCCCCTATGCTGGAACCGATGCCTCACCTCTCCGGTCCCGTCCTCCAGCTCCAAGATCCCCTCCCTTCCATGCTCCACTTGGAAGATCCCTCTTCCCTTCCTCCTCTGGAGCTGCTGGATCCGCTGCAAGCTCAGCAAACTGCGGAGCTTTCTCCTCCGCCCCTCCCACCCTCCCAGTCTTCGCCTCCCCCCTCCCCCAGCCCACCAGACTCGCCGGTACCGAGAGAGACTCCTCCCTCGGAACAACAAACTTCCACGGTGCGGGCTCCGCGCCGCCGCCAGCGCTCTCTCTCCCCTTCCCCTCAACCCTCTCCTAACCCCCACCCCCCCAAGAGGACTAGAACTTA